TTGCTAGGTGAAGACATATTTGGCTCATAGACAACATTCACTGTAGTTTCCAGATTAGTGGACTGCAACTCAAGAACATAGTTTCTTAGTACCTCGTATTTCTTGGTGTAATCTCCAATGACATGTTTTGTTGTTGCAGTCATTGCCCTGAATATCTTCTGTAAAGAAACACCCACTTTGCATTTTTTTCTAAAGGTTATCTTGCAAAGCTCGTTATGGGATTTGTGGGTTAGATTCAATTTTGTTCGTAACCTGCCTTGACAAGAAAGTAGTTGTGCAAGATCTTATATTTCTTGAATGCAAACAAGTGTGGTTGTGATTGTATGTATTCACATACCAATCTCCATTAATTGTTATATAACCTAGATGCTTAAAGATGCCAACTATAAAGATTTCCATTAGTTGCATCTTTACCCTTTCACTTTATTTTCTTTATCATTTTCTCCACCTACCACACATGTATCACTTGCATCGACTCCAGGAACCACTCCTTTACAGTAAGTTCTTAGCCTTACACCATCATTTTTTTAATTCAAGTTTATCTAGTTTCTAAAGCATGTGTGTCAACCTTGTTTTTTATATCTTTCTTTTTCTTCTAGATGTGTCCAATATAAAGAGTAACTTTGTGAAACTCTCCACACGAACACCTTTTTCTTTCCCCATTTTCTCTAATGGCACTCTTCGTTTCCTATCATCATCAGAAACCTCTTCCAATGAACCCCATCATCAATGCTCATTTTGAAGTCATCCGTGTCTACTTTATTCTCTTCATCCAATAGAAAATCATTGTCATAAGATTTTTCTTGTTCTTTCTCTTAATCATTATGCATCGTACTATGATATGTTTTATTACTACCATTGTTTATTTTCCATATCATGCATTTAATTCCTCAATGACAACTATGGGCTTGTCATTAGAGACATAAAATATGTTAACAAAGTTTTGTTTCCATGTTCAGTATACACCTTGATCACCGTGTTAGCCTTGATGTACTTAGCTAGGTTACGGACATCATTATGAAGAGCTCTGAGACTAAAATTTAAGTTGTCATTGTTGGAAATAGGTGTCAAATATCATAACTAATTGGTGTAACTTTGGGAATAATGAACAAGTCATTTTGGGGTTGCCCTAAAGAGCAAAAATAACTAGAAATAGTTTTAGGAGGTGGAGAAAATGGTTTATTAATTTATTACATGTTAATAAATTAATTAGAAACTAGTTAAATTAATTAGAATTAATTTAGAACTAATTTTGGATTAATTGTAATTAATCTAGAGGTACAAGGACTGAATGTTAATTGTTCAATAGTTGAACAACAGAAACATTCGGGAAGGCTTATAGCATGGACGATTTTAGAAGACCCCTTGTAGACTTCTATAATTAATCCTAGTAACAAATAAGGAAACAATTTAAATCTGGATTAAATCTCAATATTTAATTGTTACCACCGTAACTATATAAAGGGGCCTTGGGTGCTCATATTTCCGTCCCATGCATACCTCCTGGAAGGCTACAAAATCTGATTTTTACCTTTCTCATATCTCTCGCATTTAGTTTCAAGGGTTATTGACTTTTAGGTGTGAACCATTAGATGTATGCTACTTTGGGTACTAGTATTTCCAAGAGCAACAAGAGATCAAAGGAATCAAGCTTCAAGGATAAATCGATTTGTCAAAAGGTTAGTGTTTTAATCCCTTCTCTTTTAGCTTGTTAGGATAGTTTTAAAAGTACGTTGCTACAATAGTAAAACTTACATCCTAGGGTGTATGTACACTTATGATGATTTTTGAATGTTTTCGTTGCCTTAGTCTAGTGTATAGTTGCAAATAAAATCCAACAGTGGTATCAAATCCTTAATTTTTTGCTATATGCACAAGATATAAAACTGACAAAAATCATAAAAGAAATTGTTGTCACAGGATGCGGTGCGGCCTACCGAGTTTTTGAGGTTTCAGATTTTTAGCAATAATTTCAAATTTAGGGTCTATCTTTAGTTTTAATTATTATTTTAATTTGTTTAAATCTGATTAATTAAAATAGGAAAATAAATATGCATAATTGATTTGATATATTGATAATGATTTAAAAAATTAATTAGTTAAAATTTAATTAAAGATTATTTAATTAAATCATCCAATTTTAAATTATTTTAAATTCACCCCACATATAATTATAAAAGTTTATAAAAGAATATGAAATATATATATATATATATATATATATATGTGTGTGTATGTGTGTGTAATACATTACTATATGTAAAGAAATTATTACAACATGTATCATCATATGTTTAATTAATTATCGTTAGTCGAATCAAGACCATGCCTCATTCATAAAGTCATGTTATAAGATATGTATAAATAAACAACCTATAAAATGACCGTTAAATGAAAGTATTTTTCACTCACCGCTTCTTTGTGTGGTGGATTGTTGTTAGCCGAAAGAGTTCGATAGGACGATGTCTCGTTAAAAGTATAACAAATATAAGTACTAAAAATAAAATTCTCGTTGTTAGTTATTTTTAGAAAAATGATGCAAAACCTAGGAGTTAGTGCCTTTAATATGGCCTAAAGGCCGAGAATTAGGGTTTCTCAACTCAGCAAGGTCGAACAGTGACTAAGACCATATCATGTTGTTATATATGTATAATATATTATTAAAAAGTTAGTGACCAAGACCAAAATCACCCGCATGAACACCTTATATATGGCAAGTGTTGAAATTCTCAATTTTTTCTTCCATACATTCCTAAAGAAGATAAGGTGTTCATGCGGGCGATTTTGGCAGGTTCAAAGAATATCAAACAATTTTTAAATCCTCAAAATGAAGCATGAAAGTGAATGTCCGTGTTGTTATGCGTTAGGTGAAAAGTTGTGAAATACAGCTTGTTTGGGAAAACATTTAAGATAAGTTGTAAACCCTTAACATATTGACGTATTTAGCAAAACTAGCTATTAGCTGGTAGTCGGTACCTGGAAGTTAATAGTCGGTAGTAGTTGGATGTTATAGCTTTTATTAGTTATATAAGTGTTTGCCAAAAAAAGTTGGAAGCTTTTGAAATGTGTAAAATTACATAAAAAAATAATTGTTTAAAAATATAAATATATAAAAGGAAATTCTAGAAATTGCTAAAAAAAACTCAATATTTTTTAAACGCTGCATAAAGTAACTTTTAGATTTGAAATTTTTTTAAACAAAACTAAATGCTCGTACTCACAAACAAAATGTATTGTTTAAATCTAATTTTTTGTTAAAAGCTAAAAGGTAGAAGCTCTCAAACACTCGCTGTCAAACAAGCCTTAAGCATCTAAAAGTAAAATCTCATAACCAAATCCTTTAGAATCAGACAATAAACAAACGTGGCCATTGTTTTCTTGGAACACCAAAGGGTTTTTTTTAACTACTAGCAAGATGTTAGAACAAATGACATGTTACAAAAAGGAAATAGCAAAATTAGGGTTGTGAAGCCACAGGTTCAATTCATTCTATACTTTTTGCTTGCTAATAAAAATCCAAAAAGAAGATTAGGAAACATTCTTATCGAAAATCTTCGTTTCCTTGGTTTAACCGCTCCAACACAATGTTGTTTCAGAAATTCCAAAGATTTATGATACTGACTATATCAAACGATTTTCTTTGAGCTGCATTCAAGGTTGTTTTATGCTAACCAATTGGTCAATCTACAATCATGGTATGATAAGTGGCATTAAATTCCCACCACCTTCCTATTTGACTCCAAATTTGTCTCACAACTGGACAAACTATGAAGAGATCGTCAATAGTGTCATTATGAGAGACACAAAATAGGGCATAACACAATATCAACATCAATCTATTTATCAACCAATTTTATTTGTGTAGATACCCAAATTAACCACAATCTTCAAGTTAATGCATTCAACTTTAGAGGAACAATAGAGTTCCATCTTGAAGGAAAAAAAGTTTATCGAGAGTGCCACTTTCTAAATAAGATCTAGCGAAAGACGCTGAAAATTACCCTCTGGGATCCAATTCCATCCCTCATCGATCTCTTTGGTCAGAAAATAGAAAAGTCTATCTAGGGATGTTATTTGGTCCGAAACCGACCCAAACCGGAACCGAATAAGCCTTAAACTAAGAACAAGGAACTGAACCGAATAGTTTAATCGGTCCTTATTTGGTTCGACTCTATTAAGAAATGTGTTATCTAAGAAGGTGTTCGGAACCAGACTAGGAAAAAACCAAAAAGCGAACAAACACTTAAACTAAGAACTGGGAACCAAACCGAATATCTCAATCGCTACTTATTCGGTTTCGGTTCCGATTTGGTTTTTTGGTCCAAACGTTCATTCCTACTCCATATAAGCCAAAAGAAAGGGCATTGTATTGTCAATTCAACACTTAAATGAAATTCATAAAATGATGAAAGTCAAATCATTTACTCTTTATGAAACATCCATTAAGGGGTTTTTTTTTTTTTTTTTTTTTTTTTTTTTTTTTTTTTGTTAAAAGTATATAGAACTATACAGGCATCCAAAAACATTTGAACTTAAAATCTCATCCGGTATCATTAGTCCGAACCACTCTTGATTGGGTAAGGCATGTTTCTGTTTTAAATATCATGGTATATGATATAGTTAACTCAATTGATCATAATACATGTAAAGCATGTTATCACATTTGATGTGTACTAGTTTAGAGTTTTGATTGGTTTCAAAGATAATTATTGACGTGTCAATCTCAAACTTATTGGTTCAAAACGAGTTATTGAAAAAGTGAATTTATTATTTAAATAGTATTGTTTTTAGTAATGTATAAACATGAATTATTCATAAGATAAAAGAATAAATTAAAAATATTGATCCACCCGGATTAGAATAATGTTCCTTTGACCTTTCCATCCCAACCAACCCTCGAGGGGCTATCTAAAAAAGACATTTCGTTGGTGGCAAAGAGCAACTTTAAGATTCTGCATATAACTGCTTATAACGAACCCAAAAAAGGTCCGTGGTGCATCGTTGGTGACAACACTTTTTTTCTTGTTTAGTGATGGCGCCTGAGATCAACGCGGTGTGGTGGGCCATTTGCTCCGTTTTATCGATAAAAGTCGGGGTTCGATCGCACGAGCAAATCAGTCGCATAAACACCTTTCGATAACACACACACACTTTGAGCTTGAACAATTTGAAAATGGCGGTGGTGAATCAGCAGTTGGAAGATGATATCAACCATGGATCAGGAGGGAGCACAACTTCAATTGATGATATCGCTAGGGTTAATGCTTCAAAAGAGTACGAAAATTTATATTTTTTCCTAATTTTATATGTTCTAGCTTATGAACTAAACTGAAATTAGTTACATGAGACTGCACGATCTGTTCATCAAGTGTTCTATTCACGTCGCTGTTTTCGCAGGGCGGAAATAGAGCGGTTGATTCGCCTATACCTTAAAATTATGTGGCCTACGATTCATGCCAATGTGAATCTCTCTCTCTCTCTCTCTCTCTCTCTCTCTCTCTCTGTGTGTGTTACACCATCTTTTATGTTTGGAGAAGTTAAATTGAAAATGGCGGTGGTTAATCAACAGTCTGAAGATGATAACAACCATGGAGCAGGAGCAGGAGCAAGGACAAGTTTAGTTGATGAACTCGCAAGGGTTACGGCTTCAACAAAGTAATAAGATTCTTATACCTTTCTGCTAAAATCTGTATATTCTTTCCGATGCTTATGAATTACACTGGAATCAGTAATGCATAATATGTTCCTGAATTATTTCACAGGGCGGAAATGGAGCAAGTGGTCAACTTATGTAAGGGAACTTTATGGCCTATAATTTCTGCAGATGTAACTCTCTCTCTCTCTCTCTCTCACACACACACAAACATATTTAAGGCTTCTACAATGCATTGAACTCCATAGAATTCAATGGATTGTCACATCATCTTTCTACAATCCATATAACTTTATCATTTTTTTTTCCTATAATGCATTGTACACTACAAAGTTCAATAAAATGTTACAAAATACGGTTGTGTTTCTCATCCTAGTTGTGCAAATGACCTTACTGTTTTCACAGTATCAATTATTATCTACCCAGCTTCATTAGCTTATATAGTTTTTTACTAAATATGTTAGTTCAACAGCTTACAGAATTTGGGTGTATATATATATATATATATATATATATATATATATATATATATATATATCATCCGTGTAAAACTGTAAATGGAAATTTTCTTTGTGAAGTAGTTTGGGCTAGGTCTAGGGCTTCAAATAAGCCAAACACACTACAAGGCGGTTTCTTTGATTCAAGGTTTTTCATTTGTTGAGTTCATCTTGCAATTATTTTATCATTCAACCCCTGTCCATCAATGTTGTAGATAAGATTGTCATATACAGAGTGAGTACCATGAATAACACTTACTCTTGCTTCATGTATACCAGATCAACACAATGCAGCAAAAATTTCTTTCGGTGATAAAAGAGAAATCTGGCTTGGATCTGTTGAGGGGCATGACATGGTAAAGAATAAAACATTGGTAGATCTTTTTGATAACTACAAATTTGGCTTACAAGTAGTTGTAATTTTATCAGGAATTCTGGTAATACAGCAAGTACTTCAGGATCATCGGTTTTCCAATTTCAATTCTCAAATGGAATCTCAACACCAGTTTCTACAGGCAAGAATATTGAAGGAAAAGACAATAAACCCTTTGTAGTAACTTTGGTTGATCAAAACTCAGGGCAGATTGTGAAGACCGGGGCTGAGTCTGCAACAGAAATTGAAATAATAGCTCTTGAGGGTGATTGTGATGATTTTGAAACAGAGAATTGGACTTCTTGTGAATTTAACAATAAGATCATCCATGAATGGAATGGAAAGAAAGTACTTCAAGGAAACACTTCCCTAAAACTAAAAGAAGGTATTGTTTACGTAAATAAGATTTCATTTACACACAATTCAACCTGGAAGGGAAAGAGAAAGTGTAGGCTGGGTGCAAGGTCAAAGGATGCTGTTTTTGGCACTTGGGTAAAAGAAGCAAAAACAGAATCCTTTCTCCTTAAAGACAAGCGCAATTTCAGTAAGTACCTATATATATGTTTTATTTTATACATTTGATTTGATAATTGATATTATATTTCCATAGCTTCTGTTTTCACTTTTCAGAGTACAACAAGCATGAGAATCCATCCTCATCCGATGAAGTGTATCGATTACATGGGATCAACCATCGTAGTGATTGCTCTAAACGTTTGATAAAAGAAAACATAAAAACTGTGATGGACCTCCGTACTCTCAATGCAATTAATCCAGAGAAGCTCAAAGATGTAACTTTTTTGCTTGTTTTTTGTTTCAGTTTCTATCCGGGTGCTTGCTAGTGTCCACTTAATTGCTCAATCATAGTAACAATCATGTCATTAATATTGTCGTATCTGCAGATACTTAAGGTTCGTCCTAACGACTGGAAGATCATCATGAACAATGCAGAGAAGTGTAAGGATGATAATGGGATATACTTGTACCTTAATTCAAGAGATGATCAAAACAAACATGGTGTGGTTTTTAATGTTTATGGACATTTGTTGGGATTAGTTTCCGATTCTATATTCCTTCCTTTCTATAAGCTTTCCAGCGAAAAAAAGGTAAGTTCTGTTCTCTTTAGTTGATCTAGTTGACTCTCATAAATATCTCGGTTGTCAATCGTATGAACTGTTTAAATGACAAAGCGGTACTCTTTCTTTAGTTGATCTATTTAATTACTCTGGGAAAATACAAAAACATCACTTGTATTTGTATGAATGTGCCGATTTAGCCATTTAAATATTTATAGTAGCTATTGAACCATTAATTATACTGTTTGCAGTTGTGGGATAGAAGAAAAAGTAAACACACTTTGCCTTATAAGTAAACTGTTTAAACTGTTTTCAAATTGCCAACAAAGCAAGAAATGTTATAAAAGAATGGCAAACTTTGTTTTTTTTTATTATTTTCACCTGCTATTATAATAATAATAATAATAATAAATAAGAGTTGACATTGTTTTTAGAAAATGTACTATTCCAACTGTTTTCAAGTTGCCAAAAAACCTAAAAGATGTTATAAAAAAAAGTAACAAACTCTGTTTTTTTCAATTTCCAACCGTCATAGCTTGTCATAATTCATATTTACTCTTTTGGACCAGATTTCAAATTTGGTCGAACATTACAGATATTGTCCAAACTTTTTGTTAAACAAATCCAAACGAAATATAATACTGTAATGATTTAATGATGGGTAAATTGATATATAATTGGACTGGTTTTAATTGATTTTGTTTCCTTTCAGGCTGATGGTGAAAAGCTGATAGTATCAGCATCTGAACAGTGGAGGGAAGTCGTCTTTTTCGAAGATGAGGCTGCTCTGATTAACCATCTTCAGCCACCCACCAGTACCACCCTGAACTCACTCCCTAATGGCCTTCTTAACTTGGTGATTCCTCAGAAAAACAATCACACAGGCCTTATTACAACCATCGAGAACCACAACCACTGGAAAAATAATACTATTGTTGGACTAACCGGTCAATCAAGTCAAAGCCCCAAACGGCCTGCATCTGAATTTGAACATGTTATCTCAAATTACTCCCCTAAAAAGCCCAGAGATGATATGGATACCGAGGATGAAGATTATATGCAGTATCTTAATTTCTCACATGCACAAAAATGGAAGACTGTGTGGTGTGTGGTAGGATGGATTTCCATCTTCTCAAAAGTACGCAGTCTATCAATTGCGACAAATGGTCATTCCAGCCCAATCCAGCACATGCAGATTTAGAGAATCTGGTTTGTAAATTGTAATATGAGGTGCTTTTTAAATGGCTAAGCGTACGTAGAGAGGTGGGCCTTATAGTCGTTTATGATTGAATGGTGATTGGGTTACCCTTTTTATAAATAATTTCCGACCCTTGCAAACTTGAGGAGTTGATGGCTGTGTTTTTTTATTTCTGTTGTAGATTAAGATCGTTACGTGTCAAGTTGTTTCAAAGGATTTCTACTTGTTTCTGTATTTATTTGAAAACTATAATATTCTGTTGTGTGTTTTCTTTTTATCTTTTATGACCCGATAATTGCCAGATCATTTTTGTAGTTTACTCTTAAATTTATAACAAACAATGTAATAAAACTGATTTTATATAGATAAATTACCTGACTATTTCTCATTATATTTAAGTAAATACTTGATTTGATTCATGAAAAATAATCACCTAAAAAGTAGTACATGCAAATATTCAACGACTTTATTTATTTTTGGACAAATATCGCACGCACGTACGTTGGCAAAAGAAAAAGCAATCTTACCAATGGGTTTTGTTGTCCCTTTAATTGAATTAAAGTAGTATTAATAAAAACATAAACTATAATAAGAAACTATGGGTGTTTACCGCGCGTTGCGGGGACAGAAGGTGCTGTTTTTTTTGTCTGTTGATGTGTTTCACTTTTTGGTAATACTAATAAAATATAGTAAATTACATATTTACCCATGTCATACAATGCAATGGATTACTGGGATGTGTGCATTCATTTTATGGAAATGTTCTTATTGGACGACATCAGACATGAGGTTAACTGCCTAATCGAGTAGGACAGATTCGGTCAGGGTAGAAGGTTGAGCAGGGAAGCACAATATTCCTCTGATTGACACTGCATTACTTGTTCAGGTAAAAGTGGGCCCAAAACTCCAGTTGGTACTTCTCTAAATCCTGCCTGAAAACCAAATGAACACAAGTTTTAGGTAATGAGAAATCAACAACGGAATGGAATGGAGTGAAGGATTACAGAATAGGAATGGAATGTGATTCCATCTCCTGGGCTGATTTTCATTCCATGCAATGGAATTATAAATTAATTATTATTAATTATACCGTAATAATACCTGCCAAACAATGTAAATCAATCCCATTTCAATTGATTCCTCAAATGTTCTTCCTGACTGTTCTCTGCTTTGATTCGAAAAACACCATCAACCTGCAAATGGTACAGAAAGTGTGTTAAATGCAATAAATAGAAGCATGCTTCCATTTCTTCCTATTACAGCATTGTATTTTGGAACATTTATTCAATTATATAAAATGAAATTCTATTTACAAAATATATAATTTTTAACGAAATAGAATGTCATTAAAACCGAAATAGGATTATAACAATTTTAATTCTTTGATGTAATTAGCATTATGCCATTTCCCTCTTCAAATTATAATCCAACCAACATCCAAATTCAATGCCAAACATACTTCAGATACACTGTTCAAAAACTTAATTAAATTGAACAAATCGGTGCCATGAGACCACATGGTGACTTAGGTTTGGGTTTGGGCCTTTGGGGGAGGAAAAGGGGGTACATATGAGAGCAACTTGGTCGGTGGATCACAATCAGAGTGATAGGGACAAAGAAAAAGAGGAATCTAGAGATTCTGTTATGATTATTAAAGACAGACAGAAAGATGTTAGATACCTAAACCCTAAACCCTATATATGAAAAGTGCAACAAATAGCAATGTACTTTGAAACTAACTGCAAAAAACAAAAACAAAAAGGTGTAAATTCAAAGTACATTATTATTTGGTGCATTTACAACTAAATATGGAAAATATAACAAATAGCAATGTACTTTGTTTTTTGGTAGAAAAATCAAAACAAATCGCTAAAAACAAAAACAAAAGGTGTAAATTCAAAGTACATTATCACTTTAGCTATTCATGAGAAATTACCATTAGAACCTTCATCATACTTTCTTTTATTTCTATTACAACATTATACTTTCAATGTTTTTCTTATTAAAGCAATGTACTTAAAAAACTTATAATATTGTAATGAGAAATGAAAGTAGGGTGTTATAATAAACAAATAAATTCAAAGTACATTGTTGTTTAGTGAATTCACCACCTAAATATGGAAAATACACCAAATGACAATGTACTTTGGTTTTTGGTAAAGAAACCAAAATAAATTGCAAAAACCAAAAAAGAAATGTGTAGATTGAAAGTAGATTGCTATATAGTGCATTCACTACCTACATATGGAAAATGTAACAAATAGAAATGTACTTTGGTATCACCAAATTAGTGTGAAATAGCCTTTATGGAAAAAGTATTTGGATTTGCTTTTTAGTGGCAAAAGTCAATAAGTTAAAAATGTTTGGCTAACATATTGACTATTGCTTGTTTTTTATTCTAATAAGTCATAAGTCATTCCAAGATGTCACAAATTATAACTTCTTCAAAACTCATTTTCAAAGGCTAAACCAAAATGTAACACCCATGTTCTAGATTGATTTAGCTTACTATTTATCAAGTACCAAAGATGGAGTTTCACGAAAAACTTTGTGCCACGACGTGGTGCAAGGATGTCCACAACGTGGCATGGAGTAAATGGAACGCATGTTTTTAATGAGTACCATGACGTGGTAGTGGGTTGGCCACGATGTGGTAGCTGTTCTAGCCCAAGCCTATAATTTGAGGGTGTCCTCCCATATTTAAGCAACATTTCCATGGGATTAGGGCATCTTCTTCAGCCTCCAACCCTCTACCTCAAACCTTAGCCTCCCTTAGAGAGTTTTGGTTCATTTTGGTATTCTTGGTACCTTAAACAAGAAGAAGAAGAAGAAGAAGAAGAACTTTTGGTGCATTAATCTAGCAAGCAACTTCATCATCACCATCTTGAGCATATTTTAGACCCTTGTGAGTATTCAAGTTCCAAGCTTTCTAGTTTGTGTTTCTAGATCTAGCGTTTTTGTCCCTTTTTTTCATGTTGTGAGAGTTTGAAGGAATATATTTCATAAAGTTGGCAACTTTATGGATACTTGAGGTCCATTTGAAATTATATGTTCCAGATCTAGTGTTCCTTAGTGTATTTGGCCTTGTGTGCAAGTTTGAGCCCTTTTTCTTCCTTGGTTTTGACCTATTTTGGGTGAGACATGCATTGGACATGCATGTCCAAAGAACAAGTTTTTATGGTGTATTTTGGGTGTGAAAGTCTTCAGGAAAGTGTTGTTGGGTGACTTGGTTGGTTAAGAGCTTAATCGGTTAACTCATGTCTTAAGATGTCATTAAGGACTTAGGGTTAGAAGTTTTGGCTTATTGGGATGACTTAAAGGATAAAGTTGAAAACTTTATCCATTAAGACCTTGGGGTGTATCAGATCTGAGCTTTGGAGCTCTTAAGGACAAAGAAAACAACTAAATCAATTAAGCTGTTAAGACCCAGTTACCACACCGTGACACTTTGGCCGTCACGTCGTGGCGACTTGGAGGCTACTCGACGGTTTTGTCTTTATGTTGCTATGATTTTGCCAATGGAAGGCCACGACGTGGCGATTCACTGACATAATTTTTTGGGGCTATTGACTTTAAGGATTAACCTTGGACCGTTGACTTGGGTTGACTTTTGGTCAAGATTGTTGGATTATGGATGTAAACTAAGATTGGACCTTGTATGTTTTGATATGAGTACTGTAGCATCTGTTGCGGGGCACTTAGTTGCGGTTTAGCTGATTTTGTGAGTCTGGTGAGTTTTCTCACTATACTGTGTAGGATGTTAGTTGTCTTTGTGATACTTGCATGGAAGACCCATGGGGCAACCCGTGACATTTGTTTGAAAGACCATGAGGGTAGCTCATGGCATTTACATGAAAGACCTTAGGGGCAGCCCATGGAACTTGAATGTTAGACCATGTGTAACGTCCCGATTTTCAAAGCAATTTATTTCATTTTAATTTATTTAAATATATCATAGTATAATTACTTTTAATGGAAAGATGTTGAAAATGCATGTGTGTACAGTCGAACATTGCCCTTCTCACGAAATACCTAAAAACATTTATAACAACTGGGTAAGTGTTAGGCTTAGTGAGTTCCCCAAAATACCATATACCACAATACATATACAATGCATACACATAATGACCTTCAACATAAAAGTGGTCTGCCCTTGGCCTTCAGCACGAACCTGGTCCGCCCTTTTTGCTTACAGCATATAGTTGGTCTGCACTCAACTATATATATATATATATATATATATATATATATATTATATATACATATAGCAAAAGTCCATATAACAAGCAACGAATTATCCTAGTCTAATTGCCTAAGTGCATACTAGTGGGTAACTATGTCCTAACATACAGATGATACATATTAGAGTATACAATATAGTGAGACACCTTGACAATGACTCAGAACATTGACAGCTATCTGGGTGATTCTACTGATGACCCAACTAACGGATAGCGCACCGAATAAGTATTAGCAGAGATTTCCTAGACAAAAGTCCGGAAATTGCACTGGCAGAGCTTCTACTTGTTAGCTACTACTACTTTACGATTCGTAGGGATTCGTCGCTGACTAAAACTAAGGGAAAATAGGCTAAAATCAGAAGCAACTTGAGTGAGAACTTGGGAGGTGTGGGAAGAGAATGAGCCATTGGAGGCTATCTATTGGCGATTTTTAGGGTGCACAACGTGCAAATAGGGTGCACGTTGTGCATTTTAAGGAAATGTCTCCACAGCCGCTTTATGCCACGTTTCAGCCTCTCTGTTGTTCGTGCTTTTACCTTCTAGAAGTGCACGTCGCGCACCGCGTGCGGCGCAAAAAAGATTTTGTAAAGTTTGTAACTTCATCATACAAACTCCGTTTTTGACATTCTTTATATCCCCGGAAAGCTCTCGAAAAGATCTACAACTTTCATTTAGACCCCAACGGCTAACTCTTACTTTATTTTTCGTCCATATTTTTATATAATTAAATGATTTGCTAAAATCATAACTCTCTCGTACGGACTCCATTTCTGATATTTTTTCTCAAAATTCCTATGTTAAAGAATACTATAATTTTCATTTTGGCGACTTTAGCTAAAGGTCAACGATTTTCTTCATAGCTTTTTACGTCACACATTCCTTGTGTGTGGCTGACATTTATATCTTATGAAAATCATA